GTGTGAAATAGAGAAGGAAAAATGGAGATTCAAGGAGGAGAAAAACGTGTGCATAGAACTCCGAAATCCAAAAATGTTGACGGGAGGCAGGCGAAGGCCGAGTTGCGCAATGGGTGTTGCTGCTGGGTCGGGACAGTTCCCCTGCTCGTCTCCCACGCCTCTTCCAACGCCGAGTTTGCTCCATTCAATAAAAAATCACATTCATCATTGTTTTAATGCTATACGTTACCAAATTCCAATATATGAGTTTATTTTACTGTATTTCTTGTTATGATTTAGTTTTGTTACGCCTCTCGTGTTAACAACAGGGACCACAGGCCCATATATATCCACAAAGTCGTAACAAAATTTGGTTGACGAAAAAGTCACCAGCCAAATTTAACGTCAAGAAACTGGCGGTATTGAACAAACTGGTCCGTCGATGATACATGTCATCCGAAGATCACCACATGTGAACAATGGCCGCTAAATATTGTAAGTGCCGCTGCTTTTGGAGTAGGAGCAGCGCCCGGCGGGGAGGAGAGCCCAGCGGACGAGCGTCACCGCCTCAGCGCTCGCAACCGCCCATAACTCCCCATAACTGTACCTAACGTATACTTAAAAAAAAAAATACACTGCGACCATACATCTCTAAATCTACTTTGTAGTCATTCGTAAGCGTAACAATTATCACATATCATATTTTCATATTCACAATGCATTCATTTGATATTCTCTATGATATTTTTTAAAAGGTCATTATGTGAACAAAGCGCAACGAGAACGCTCCATGGAAATGCAAAAACAAAAATATATATATATAATGGGGTTCTGTCTCGTGCCAGATTTTCAGAACCCAAAGTATGTCATCTTCTTCCCTACACCAGTCCAGGGGTGTGACCTCACAGGCACACCACACTCTTCTAATACCATCCTTAATAACACAAATTGCTGGTATTACTTTCTCGTATTATCAACCCGTGTCGTATACAAAAAAAAATATATATAACAAATTTGGGACTTTGGAAGGCAAGCACATCAAGTCGTATTTCAAGTCAGACTTACAATCATTGTCGAGAAATTCAAGCTAGCATGTGCCTGGTCGACCCTCAGCACAAAACGATTGGGGAAGTTCGACCGTTTTCTACCAGTATGTAAAACCCCCAACCCCTAACCCCCCTATATCTTACCCATCGAGAGGGTCATACTGTGTCACGCTAAGTTCACAGTGACCTTGATCTTGAACTGGAAAATATTTGACTTCTCCGTCAACGAGGAAGGAAGGCTGACTTCCTATTTGATTCGTAAGCAATCAGAATTACTAATAAGGCCACCAGTACTGATCTGATTGCTTTGTGAGGGTTCTCGTCTTACCTAATTAGTGTAATATGTATACAAATTTTTAACTGTGTTGGGATAAATTTACATTAAAATGCTTATGACAGCTCAATGTTCAACTTTTTTTAAAGGGTGAAAGCTATCTTTTTTTTTTAAGTTTTTCATCTTATTTTCTGGCCCCAAATTAACAAGTTTATTTTGAAAACCCTCTTCCTACATTTTAATAATTTTTACAAACACATGAATTTTGATATAGATTTTAGGAAACATATATAATTTATCAACAGGATTATTAGCAGTTCTCCTCTGGTAAGATTCCGAAATATTATTGGCACTTGTTAATGCGATCCTCCGTCACTCGTCCGTCACTCCCCCGTCACTCACCTCAAGGGTCTAGCAGCCCGGAAAGGAGAGCCAGGGGTCAGATTCACGAAGCAGTTACGCAAGTACTTACGAACGAGTACATCTTTCCTCAATCTTTGACGGCTTTGGTTACATTTATTAAACAGTTTACAAGCAGGAAAATTTCCCAATCAACTGTTGTTATTGTTATAAACAGCCTCCTGGTGCTTCGGAGCTCATTAACTGTTTAATAATTGTAAACAAAGCCGCCAAAATTGAGAAAAGATGGACAGGTTCGTAAGTGCTTGCGTAACTGCTTCGTGAATCTGGCCCAAGCTTGATCCTTACTTCAGCAGGAAAAAAATATACTTGAGTAACGTTAATTCAACGCAGAATCAACGAAGAACCAACGTTCATTCTAAGTTACATTAACGTCGTTTGACCAGATTTTTCCCCAGGGTCTCAGCCTTCCGTTGGTAGCAACTGCTACAATATATTTTAACAACTAGATTCTTAAAAAAAAAAACCTTTCAGATTGTCCAAGCTGCTTCTTGTTGTTGGTACAATGTCAGTATTCAACCATCAAAGCACAATAATTGCTGACTTGCTAAAATAAAATTCACTCATCTAACTCTTTTTGGTTAAGTAGATTCCAGTGAATTAGAAACACAAATCAATGAACTTTACGAACTTGGCAGGAATTAATGTGATTTTATTATATAAACAAAGTTATTGGCTGGCAAGCCTAGCTTAATATGACTGATGGAATTCGGGACTTTATAAAATATTTGAACAGCATTACCCAGTGGGCAATCAACGTTGATGAGGTTTATTGTTGATCTTGGGTATTCTACCCACTGGGTATAGTTATGTAGTTAAAACTTATGTAGCACTGTTATACTTTTTTCTTCTTTTTGTTTATTATTTTTTATTTTTCTATTGCTGTAGTTTCCCCCTCCAATCATCACACTGTTCCCAGAGCGTCGCTGACGGAATCCTACTTGAGGAGAGAACTATTACTAATAACTTTACTTGAAAGAGAAGTCGTTCCTCACGTCTGGGTAAATTACGACTGATATAGAAAACGTGTACATACATATTTCGATTTACAAAATAGTGAAAATATTATTTATAAATTATGAAAAAATTATCTGAAATATGAGTAGATTGCATTGTAAATTAGAGCTTACATAATATAATACCTGTATGTAATAACATTTTATGGTTACATTATCATAAAATTAAATATAAAAAACAGTCTTGCAGCATCCCGTGTGAAAGATTATCGTCCACTCAAGTCTTAAAGACAACACTTTTAAAAACAACTCATCAGTGTAGCCACATCATGCAGCCCTTCCAACAACCCTCCCTTGCAAGTGTAACAAAATGCAGCTTCATCAGCTGTCGACATGAAAATAAATAATAGCGGCAACACGAGCCTAAATATATTTGTAAATTCATGAATAAAAAATAAATAAATTGCTTGGATTTTAATCACAACTTTACCCTCTCCCCCTTTGACAAATCCTGGACCAAAAGCAAAAAATACCTCATCTTCCCTGACCTCGAAAAATACAGACACATTACAACGCGTTACAGCAATACTGATGTTACTACGTAGGCATTTTGCACGTCCCTGGCGCCGCTGTTTCACACTGACGAGTGTCTTTGAAAAGTATGGCCGTCACTCGTCACTGTCGTCCCTGGTGCTGAGCTCGTCCAGGACTCTCCTGATATGTGTGTAGCCCTTTCCCTCGCAGAAATTAACACGTGATGAATACTGTGACAATATCTGACCACGAAGGAAAAATGAGACAGGAAATTCCTTAAACATGCAGACAAATTTACAATATCGTGAATATAACACAGTAATGAAGATGCTAGATGATGGAAGTAGTCCAATGTGAAAGTTCTCCACACGCCACAGTTCTGCTCTGGTACACTGAATAACGACGCGAATAATGAAAAAGTAAATAGAAGTAATCAAAGTGATGAATAGATGTCTTTTGTCAGGATATAATCCAACCGCCCCGAGGGGTTCAAAGGAATCTAGACTTCTACCCACGAGAGGTTCAAAGTAAGCTAGACCCCCTACCCCCCTGAGAGGTTTATAAGACGCTACACTCTTCCCCCCCGTGAGAGTCCCAGCTTCTCAAACACGCAGGACGACAGATCATGCAAAACTCAACTTGGGTGGCAGTTTTTTTTTTTTTTTTTTTTTTTTTACAGAAAATGGTCATGGGCTGAATGGAGCCCTTGTAAATCACGTGAAGGTCATTATGCAGCATGAATCAAATACAGTACTTAAAATCTTGAATATATATATATATATATATATATATATATATATATATATATATATATATATATATATATATATATATATATATATATATATATATATATATATATATATAGAGCCGGGTTAGCAAAACATATATTATTGATTATGAAATGTTTGAGGTTCTACTTGTCCAATGTATGAGAAATGATGGTACTAGGAAATGTGGTCTAAGAGTACCATTAACCAGTAACCTGGAGAACGAAGTGCCATCAATGTGGTGGCACTAATACAGCGTAAATACAACAAAAAATTTAATAATTTCTTCTGATTATATATATATATATATATATATATATATATATATATATATATATATATATATATATATATATATATATATATATATATATATATATCATACGTAATAGCCAGAACGCACTACTCGGCCTAATATTCAAGGCGCGATTTGCCTAATAGGCAGAGGGGTTTTCGTTATTTAAAAAAAATAGTTTCCAATTGGTTTATTTGAATTAATATTATTATATTATATTAAGAACATGAATTACTGACTAAGTTATGTTAGTTTACGTTAGGTTAAGATGAGTTTGGTCATATTTTTTCGTTAGTTTACGTTAGGTTAAGATGAGTTTGGTCATATTTTTTCGTTAGTTTTAACTCAAATTAAAAAAAAAAGGAAATCATATATAATGTAATGGAAAGTTTTATCATTTCATAAGAAAAAAATTAGAGAACTAAATAACATCTAGAAAACTCGGCTTACTAGGCAACCCGGCCTTGCATAGTAGGCAAAGTAGTGTGTTCTGGTTATTAGGTACAACATATATATATATATATATATATATATATATATATATATATATATATAATATCGGTGCCACTTGTGAGTGTACATTTATGTGATTGCATCTCTTACTGTCTGCAACAAGCAGCTGTGGGACCAGAATCATCATGTTAGCAGGTTCGACATATGTATAGGGTCAAGTACACTCGAGTCACTAGAACCTGCCGGTTCTGCAGGCTTGTATAACCAGATATACGTATGTCAATAAGTACCCCCCTAGGGTGCTGGGCTAAAATGCATCCTCGTCACCAGCTCCCACAGGTGTGTGGGACCTGGTATAACTATGTCTCCAGGTCGTGCGGGTGTGAGGAACCTGCCCACTTCAGCTAATCTCATCAAGACACTTCACCTGTTGATTTATCTTCAGCAAAAGTCCTGTATTTCTTATCCCTGGAATCCACGCTGGAGTCTTCAGAGATGACCTGATCTCACGAGGACTCGGGTACGACAGCCAGACGATGAGGGAATGAGATTATTGCACATCCAGGATCCCTTCGCCGCCTGCATTCCCATGCCACTCTTGCAGACATATAGCCTCTGCCTCGCCGCTTGTACCACTTTAACCCCTTTGAAAACCTGTACAAAATCATTTTCGTTTACCACTGACCACTGCAAGGTAACGTTGGCACTAAGAACCCACAATATAAGAAAGAGTTTTGTTTTCTTTGGCACGGCTTCAAACCCAGGGCGAGAACACTTAGGAAGTTTTTGTAATCACTAAGTCACAGCAGGGATGCACCTAGTCCAAAGATAATTACATTATTAGAACAAAAGATAAATACTGTACAGTGACTGGATTCTCAGCATAACATTTCCGGTAATACTGTCAAGAACACGTAAAGTTCCCCGGATTTTTGTTCCACTTGTCGCAGTATCCATGGCGGCGCTTCCAGGGGCTTGCCTACGAAGACCACAAGAACCGAGTCTTTAATAAATAGTACATTAACAGTGGCCTTCAGAGGAGCACCAAGGTCGAGGTCTTAATACTTCCGTTAAAGGGGAGATGAAACCTCATTAGCTAGAGAGACCTTACCAAATATACAAATAAGAACACACAATGGTGATTCCAACAGTTGCTCCGACAGAGCGTTGAACTTGGCACCTAACCCCGCGCTTACTATCCACACCTCCCCATCAGCCCCTTCCCGTCTGGCTCTGTGTCCTCAAGTGGATATCTTGCTGGCGGGGAGAGGGGCATTGATTATCTGTTGCCGTTAAGCCTCCTTACTGTGGGGCGGAACGGAGCGTCCCCTTAGCTTCTCTTGGAGGCGAACTCCCTGAGGATGTCTCTGGCCATCGCTATGTCATTTCTAGTGATAACCAGGGCCCGAATGACGGCGTCCTGGGCGAAACCCTCCTGCGTCAGCGTCGCCAAGTAGTCCATGTGCAGATTCTCGTAGGCCGTGTGCGCCTCCTCACCTTCCAGTCCTTCCGTCACGTTCATGCTATGTAAAAAACAAAAGTAAAAATATCATGATATGAAGAAGAATTAACTTAATATCCATGACCACAGTACCTATGGCCACTTCACTTATGGCTACAATACATATCCATACGGTATCTCAATATCTATGGCCCCAGAACCTATGGCTGCAGTACCTATGACTACTATACAACAGTAGGCTCGTCTTACCGAATAAGTAGAGTTGTTTAATTTGATCTTCGTGGAATTTTTTTTTTATATAATATCCCGATAGACATATTTGTCCGATTACTAAAGTTATTATATCAAATCGATCACATTCTACTTTTAAAAGGCAGTACAGAGGAAAGACCGATACGGCAGCCAGTGATGTTGTGACGAGAAAGAGTATAATGAGTGACAAAAAAAAACTTGGAATTGAATGGGCAATATCGATAAGCTGAAAGTTGGATTCAATATATATATATAATGCAAAATTGGTGGATGGGACCCAGGAGCTTAAAGCTGACACACAAATCAGAGGGGAGAGGGGAGACTAAGGCAGCCATGAGACCTGATAATAACAAAGTAAAAACACAATTATATATGGAATGTTGCAAGGTAACCATGTGATGCCACACACACACCTCCTACCCCCGTCTCGGGGGCAAGCAAGACCCAAGAGCACCTGGAATCTGTCCTATTTCGTTCTCTGTCTATCTCTCTCTTTTTCTATCTCTTCCCTACCTTCTGTCAGCCGACCAAGATTTAATTATCGTCGGCAAGGAGGGGGCTGACGGCGCCGGGAAGTTGGGAAGGTCCGAGTCAGTTGCTGACTTCCTCGCTGACGTCGGACACGCTGCAATAAACACAGTGTTAAATGATGATAAACAGAGTTGATTATTCAGCTGATGATACGGTTAGACCAAATTAATATATGTCGTAGACCTGACATACATGAAATCGATTCCCACATAACAATGTATGGAAATAACTGAAAACTAACGAGGAGAATCAGAAGAGAGGGAAACTGTGATAGACTGAAAAGTGTACTTGACACTCCTGCATCAGAAAAGGGGTGAAAGTAGGCGTTAGGTAACCTCATATGTAACAGCAGAGGCACACATTAGCAGAATAACATCAGCGGTACATGCTATGTTGATCAACGCCCAGAGCACCTTCAGGAAATAAAACAATGGTGCCACCTGAGTGCCATATACAGCCATTGTGAAACCCATTTTTTTGGAATGTAGCCCCGGGATGGATCCCTGATCTGAAAATCACAAAAGGTCTAAAGATGTACAACAAGGCTGGTTCCTGAGCTGGTGGGACTGACTTATGAGGAAGGACTGGGGAAACTGAACCTCGCCTCAAGGGAGAAGAGAAAGAACTGAGTTCAAAGTGAGAAACAGTGGGAACAAGGGGGCGAAGATTAAAAATAGAGACTCAAATAAGAAACAAATATATGAGAAAAAAATCGTTCTATGTTAGAGTTGTAAATATGTGGAATGTTGGATTAAGAAGTGATTGAAGTTAACTCGGATATGATAACAAAAAAACGAGAGAATATAGTATTGAGCTTCTAAATGGTTTTAAAGAAATTAGGATCTGAATTTGAAGCGCACATGCATATGATCAGGTGAGCAGATGTCAGCTTATCATCAGTCGCAACCGTAGAGGTGAGGTCAGATGATTATACTCAGTAAAGATCAGATCATAAACAGTCATATCAGTAAGAAATACTAGAGCAAATCAAAGTCCACTATGGGCTCACAATAGCCCGTGCTGCTAGGAACTTTCTGTTCCGAGTAGATGAATCTAAAACAACAAACATAGAGCAAATCACACGCCAGATCATGAACAACCTGGTAAGTTAAACGAAAAAATTATTAAAATTTTAAATGCAAATTCCAGAGTTACGTCAAGTGAGGAGCAGGGAGGAGGAGAGAGCTGTCTCACCTGAGGGAGGAGACAGCTGCCTCACCTGAGGGAGGAGAGAGAGAGAGCTGCCTCACCTGAGGGAGGAGAGAGAGAGCTGCCTCACCTGAGGGAGGCAGAGTGGTGTTCTCGTAGGGCGGCTCCTCATGGATGTCCTCCAGGTCACCGGTGTGGCTGGTGCCACTGGCTCTTCTGTCCACGTCGCCGCAGACGCCGCTGCTGGTGGTGGAGGCCGACCCGGAGGACGAGCATGAAGTGGAGGAGGTGATGGAGGAGGGGGAAGATGGGGATGGCGTGGTGGCAGGCGTGGGGGGCATGAGGGTGGAGTGTGAGGGCAGGATGGTGCGAGGGCGCGGGGTGACGGTGGTAGTGATGGCGGTGGTGATGGCGGTGGTGATAGGCTCCGGGCTGAAGGACAGGTCATCGCAGGTCATCACGGGCGTGTATGTGATGACCGTCACGGGCGAGGAGACTGAGACAGGCGGGGGCGGCGCCGTGGTGGTGGGCGGGCCGCCCAGTGGTGACAGAGGCTGCTGGTGTCTCTGGGTGTGGCCGCTGCTGGGGTTGGGACTCGCTGGTAGGCTCACCGGCACAAAGGAAGGGGAAGAGACAGTTGAACTAGTGGGAAAGTGGGAGGGAAAGGCCGGCGCGGAGGGTAATGGAGTGGGCGTGGTGGCTGGCGTGGAGGTAGGCACGGGCGTGGTGGCAGGCGTGGAGGTAGGCGAGGAGGAGGAAGAGGAGAGGGAAGGGTTGGACCCCGAGGCCCTCATCAGCTTGCTGGTCCTGGGCACAATGTGTGGCACGGAGAGTGGGCGGTGGCGCAGGGGTGATGGCGCCCCCGCCTTCCTCCCGCTGGGGTCCTTGCCTGGCCCTGTGGGGGACACACACCCTCAGTACCTCACCATTATTGATCACATCACCACCATTATTGATCACATTCTCACCATTACTGATAACATCATCAGCATAAACAACAGAATCGTCACCATCACCTCGGTGGCCTGGCTACTTCATTAATAACTATGGAATTATACTGACCTCTACATTTATAAACATGTCCAAATGATAACTTTTTCATCATAGGAGCTAAACTCTTATCTTCCCTCGCCACATTCATCATATGTATACGTATGCATATTCTATTCTTAAAATACGAATTACAACTAACGTTTCTCTCACTGTGTAAACATTTAAGTTTACAAATATTGTCATATATTCCTGGGACACTTTTGATCCTCATCACAACAAAAAAAAAAGTTTATCACAGATGTTTAATACTCACTAAACTATACACTACCCACAGGGCTCCGAGTTACACACCTGAAAGACTAATACACAGAGAGTAATTACACTACCGTGATGTGTCAATGAGAAAATCCGCAGAAGCCGTGATGAGGGTTCGAACCTATGTTAGTGTGACCATGCCGTGGCCTAATTGACTTGGGTGTGTGCGTGGGAACACCCACCGCATAGGCTCGAACCTTCATCACGGCTCCTATGGAGTTTCAGAAAGACTAATATCAACAAAATCTTGCCGGCAGGCTTCGAGTCTGATGATATCCTTCGTGTGTTTGCGTCAAGACCCACAATATTTGTCTGTACTTATTAATTAATCTAGACTTGTCTATGTTATTAAATAATTTATTATATATTATGCACCTTCTTGAAGTACAGTGGTCTTCGTCCTCAACTCACAATGGAGGATCTGGAGTTCGATCCCCAGGCGGAACAAAAATGGTAGAGCACAGTTCCTTTCAACTGATGCCTCTGTTCTCCTAGTAGTAAGTAGGCAGCTGTTGTGAGTTGCATTCTGGGGAAGGTTAGTAGTTGCCCTAGGAGGCCTAAGTAAAGTCTTCCTCTTCCCGACAATGATCCTTATTTAGTATCCAAAACTATCTCTAATTGACCTGATATTGGCTTACTACATTGAACGTATCGTCAGCAAGACGTTACTGCCTCTTTAGTGTGACCTTTAAGCCAGCGTGCTCACCTGTGGTGGTGGTCTCGACCGCTACGTTGTTGGGGTCGAGGGTCACTATGGTGATTGTCCTGGGCGGGGAGGTGGGCGTGGTAGGCGTGCCGACCACCGTGGGCGGCGTGAGGGAGGTCAGAGTTCTTGGAGGAGCTAGAGGCATGTCCTCTTCTTCCTCCAGCTCTAACACACTCGACCTGTGAAGACCGTATCACATGTCTCACTCTGATATTTATTTGGCACACTACCCAAGAGTGGCGACGGTTCGACGGTGAATCAACGTCATTGATAACATTGACTCGGCGTTGATCTTGGATACCGTGCCCCCTAGGCAGAATATGAGGGATAAAAGATATTCCAGTTTATCATTTAATCAAACGGGACCGTATGGAACAACTGTATAAGTTTCTGGAAACATTTCTCAGATGCAGCCTAGATCTCGATTGAAATAAAACGTTGCCTCACCTGCATGCCCATGTAAAATACTGAATCTACATTTTATTTAAAAGTCCAGAAATTATTGAAGACTAAATATATTTAGTAATTTACAACATATTCCTATTGTCAAATAAACATTCTACAGCACAAGAAAAACACAAGAAGTTAGCGCTAGTATAACATGCAAAGTTTCACAGCTTTCCGTCACTGGGTCATGGGTGTTGCTCGTGGCTATTGTGCCCACTGAGTAAGGAGGTTACTAGCGAAGGCTAGAGTCACGAGGCATCAAAAAATACTCGAAACATTTGACACTAGAACCAATTTCACAGGTAACTGATATTATTGGAAACTTTAATTACTGCGAGTTATTAGAACAATTCATTAATAAATTACTTTTAGTCACTAAGCCTTGTGACTCAGTAACTTGTGTCACGAGTTACTGTATGTCAATGAGGGAGCCTCGTGTTATGAGTTACTAATGGAGGCAAAACAGGACTAATTCTCAATAGTTTGGTTTTAAAACCTTGTAAGAAATACAATGCTTTGTTGCTATGTGATGGGAGTTGTATATGGAGGCACTCTAGATGTCAGGTGGAACTTGTTTATAGACTCCCTTAGCAACATATCAGCGTATTTTATATACTTTGACCAAGATGATGCCGGTAGACTCGTGCACTCAGACCCCAGTCTTGAAATATTTGCATGACTATACCTGTATGCTTTGTTTGTGATCCATATATTACATACGTAGGGATGTCTGCAGAATGCCCGTCTGAGGCGAGGTTAACTCCACATTCCATCTGGATGCAGTCTGGATGAACGTTAGAGAAGGTACACCGAATCGAGGCACATAAGAATCAGAATGATCGAAGTGCTTTTGGAAGATGAACTCACTCTACTTGGATGTCTTGGGGAGAGGATGGGAAACGAAGAGATTTGAGTGCGTTCAGGATTCCTCGTAATAGCACCTTCCACCCGGATCTCTTGTGATGTCGAAAGTCGTGCTGATGCAACCAGTCCAACCGGTTCGTCGCTACGTAGGAGCTTTCTTGCGTGCTTAATCTCTTCATTTGTCCTGACTACGCAGATTAGATGTGGTAGACCTTCAAAATGAGGATACGTACTTGGCACCATAGTTACATAACTTGCAGACGATGAGTCACAGTAACGTGGCCTGAAGATATGAAGACTAAAGGTTGTGGTACACCAGAATTTGTTAAATTGGACAAATACTTAATTTGTCCACTGACGCTGAAGAAAAAGCTCGTGTTGAACCTCAAGCATATCCTTTCTCAGTGGCCCAAGTTTGCCTACTGTAAACAGTGCCTGCAAACTGAAAATGTTTTACCCATATATTTGATCAAAAATCTCCTTAGCCAAACGAAACAAAACCTAGTACTTGAAGCCCTTGAGAGATTGCAGTCCTTGCTCCGCATCCCTCTGGATGGATGGTCACTACACGACAAAGAAATGATAACCAAGTTTCAACGGATCAACAAAATTTGATATTGCCTAGCTTAAAGAAATCAAGAGTCCATTTTTTGTATCCTTTGTGCAGTTGTGTGACTATTCTGACACGTCCCACGCATAGGTATGAGGCTTTGTTAAGTTGGTTAAACTGAATACAAAATTGTAATAGACTGTTGACGTATATATTATATAAAAAACTATGCAACTACCAAGCCAACGAGCATTGTAGTCCTGTGTACACTGAATTCACCGCGCACAGTTAATTCTAAAAAAAACTATTTTTTTAAATCACGCTCGTAAACATAACTATCTTGTTTCAGTTTCTATCATTTCGAGTTCCTTAAGGCCAGCTTTTGCACAGGAGGTCCCCTCGTGTACAACAACATGAAAGCCCTACCAGTGTTGTCCAACATATTTAGCAAACACACTTACAAAACTTGCTTCTTAACCAACCACGCTGTGTGCACCGCTAATTATCACAGTAACTATTTTTAAAGCCAACATATCTATTAGACAATTCGTTTACTATTGCCTTGCACATTTCGTTCCCTGTGGTATGTTCCGGGAACGTTACCAAGTTAACCAATTCTTCCCATAATAATGATAATATTTATACATTTATTTGTTTAATTATTATAAATGAGTGTATCGGGGGACGGCACTGCATGCCAGCAAAATGTGGAGGCGGGGCTTCTCTTTGTAGGCGGGCTGGAGGCGGGGCTTCTCTTTGTGGGCGGGCTGGAGGCGGGGCTTCTCTTTGTGGGCGGGCTGGAGGCGGGATTACAAATCATGGGCGGGCTGGAGGCTGAGCTACTCTTCGTGGGAGGGCTGGAGGCTGAGCTACTCTTCGTGGGAGGGCTGGAGGCTGAGCTATTCTTCGTGGGAGGGCTGGAGGCGGAGCTACTCTTCGTGGGAGGGCTGGAGGCTGAGCTATTCTTCGTGGGAGGGCTGGAGGCTGAGCTATTCTTCGTGGGAGGGCTGGAGGCGGAGCTACTCTTCGTGGGAGGGCTGGAGGCTGAGCTATTCTTCGTGGGAGGGCTGGAGGCGGAGCTACTCTTCGTGGGAGGGCTGGAGGCTGAGCTACTCTTCGTGGGCGGGCTGGAGGCGGAGCTTCTCTTTGTGGGCGGGCTGGAGGCGGAGCTACTCTTCGTGGGCGGGCTGGAGGCTGAGCTACTCTTCGTGGGAGGGCTGGAGGCGGGGCTTCTCTTCGTGGGCGGGCTGGAGGCTGAGCTACTCTTCGTGGGCGGGCTGGAGGCGGAGCTTCTCTTCGTGGGCGGGCTGGAGGCTGAGCTACTCTTCGTGGGAGGGCTGGAGGCGGAGCTTCTCTTTGTGGGCGGGCTGGAGGCGGGGCTTCTCTTTGAGGGCGGGCTGGAGGCGTGGCTTCTCTTTGTGGGCATTCTGGAGGTGAGGCTACTTTTCATAGGCGGGCTGGAGGTGGGCTTCTCTTTGTGGGCGGGCTGGAGGTGGGGCTTCTCTTTGTGGGAATTCTGGAAGTGAGGCTACTTTTCATAGGCGGGCTGGAGGCGCAGCTACTCTTCGTGGGTGGGCTGGAGGCGGAGCTACTCTTCGTGGGAGGGCTGGAGGCTGAGCTACTCTTCGTGGGCGGGCTGGAGGCGGAGCTACTCTTCGTGGGAGGGCTGGAGGCTGAGCTACTCTTCGTGGGCGGGCTGGAGGCGGAGCTACTCTTCGTGGGCGGGCTGGAGACGAAGCTACTCTTCGTGGGCGGGCTGAAGGCGGGGCTACTCTTCGTGGGAGGGCTGGAGGTGGGGCTACTCTTCATGGGCGTGCTGGAGGCGAAGCTACTCTTCGTGGGCGAACTGGAGGTCACGAAGGGCGAGCCTCCAGTTCGCCTCTTTGTGGACAAGCAGGAAAAGATCCTACCTTTCGTGAACACAATTCATCGACTCTTAGCTAGCGTCGAGGACGGGTCTAGTCTCCGTGGGAGGAATAAGGAATGGGGGCTTCGTGCCTGTGAGTTCTGGCTGGCGTCAAAGGAATGCTGGGGACGAAGCAACATACCTGTGAATAGTGGCTGGCGTCGAGGGCGGGCTGGGGGCGGGGCTAGCCTTCCTGGGCGGGACGGGAGGCGGAGGTATTACGTCATCTCTGCGACAGACTCTAGGCGAGGCTCCTGGTGACAGTAGTGGACTTCTCGATCCCTGGCGACCAATATTAATACCAGTTATACCACAGGTATACTCGATGTAAAATAGAATTATTTAGCTATAATACAAGTAGGCATATATATACATTTCTGATGTGACAAATTAAACCTATTTCTACATTTACATGAATCGAGACAAACAGAAATCTAGAAAGTGGGTCATTATGCAACACAAAATATATATATCTATAAAGAAAAAAATATATTTAATTCACAAGATAAGTATTTGATCTCTAGACTAATTACCGTTTGAACACGTTCCATTATTAATATACTCAGTACAATGTGTTTCTCCGTGAAATTGATGGGTGAGCTTTTTTTAAATTGTTGTCTTGCTGATGTCATTAAATACCACTGTTCCACTAGCTAGGGATCTAGACATCAAACTGTGATACAAACCTGTAATAAATGGCTGTCAAGTGTTGCATAATTGGTACATCTGAAATAAATAAAAACAGATACTCACAACCTACCCTGTTTGCCATCTACGATGAGAATATTTCTTGAAATCGTAGATGCTTAGAAGCAATTAGGTCATTGGATTTATCTAATTTACTTACCATATAATTTGTATGTGGGGATAATTTAACAAATAATAATACACTTGACACTTCCAAAAGCTTACCAGTGTTTACTTCTGTAACTTTATGGTTGCAGCTCGTTCAAGATTCACGAAGAACTTACGTGTTCACTTTACGAGATTTGTACCTCTTATCTTGATCATGGAGGCTCATTTGCTAAGTCGTTTACGAGCTCCAAGTTTAAGTTCTACGACAGCGTCGTCACCCCAAGGTTATTATTGTTATAAGCGATCTCATAGTGCTTCGGAGCTCGTCAAGATCGAGGTAAAAGGTTCAGATCTTGTATCCTTATTGACTGGATAGGAATTTCGGAAAGCCTGCTGGGATTCTACGTGTCTAACGAGATAATAGTTATTATAATTGTTGGCTGGATAGGATAATAATTAAAATTATTATCTCGTTAAACACGTAGAAACCCAGCAGGCTTTCCTTCCTAGCCAGCCAATATGTCAACAGAGTCGGAGGGATACAAGGGTGCGCCGTTCACTTTTCAGTCCAGCAAGATACACGCTGTGTAGCGAACCACAGAGAGAGAGGACGGCAGAAATATGAGAAAACTATCGCATGTTACATATCAATTAAAGTAACGCGGTTGACATGCGCGCAAAAACAGCCAATAATAATAATTATAGTAATGAAACACAATAAATACTTATGTGTGTCATTAGCAGTGACAAAAATAATATTGAAACAAATATTCGATAGAATTCTTACCGGACCAACCCAAAAAAGGACCTAAAAGTTCTAGCATCAAGCATTACGATAAATACCGCAATGAGACGTTCGTGCACGGAACTACTAGATCAACTGATCATAGGTTGGTAAATTTGTTAACGCAATTTTAAAAACTAAATATTATAATTTTGAAAAATATACTTTAAGGTAACTACTAGAGCAAGAGATCGAGTGCTGTTTTGGTGGCCGGGATACGCCCGTGATACACACGTGTCTGACAACTTCACTAAAACTAGTGTCGAATACACCATATGTTAACTTGTATAACAATAACAACTACAAGCACTCTCTCTTTTATAATATATTTTAAAATACCCCGCTTGAGTGGCCGACTTTCTACCCCCTGTAGGTTGAGGTATAATAAACTCCAGCACTATAGAACACGTGATAACACGCTTCAAAACACACAATTACTTGTGTGCTCAACAACCCGCTACGCTATATATTCTAACCTGTATATAGGATGGTCATCCGCAAGACTTTATTCGAACGTTTGCTTTCCGTTATTTTAAAAGCTTTACATCTCAGTAACTTGGAGAATTTTGTTTCAATGCGTTATATTTGTAATGTTCTAGAACGATTTGTCTCAACCAGCGGTGAAGGGTATCATCAACTGGCCCATTCCGACCCAAGCCTAACGTCTAGGTATATAATGTGCTTTTTGGTAATTTGGATCATCGCATTCCATCGTTTAAGTTTATTGTTTCAATATTTTATATTATAACGTTACAGCTCTTTGGATTACTCATTCTGATATTCTTTATGCCAAAAAAGGTATACGTTATACCCTCATAAAGACAGCTGTATCTCACTCAGTGGAGTTATTATTGCCATTATGGTTAAGAGTTATAAGTATATATTTATAGATATTACAAAGTATGCTATTATTATGACTTAGGCAAATAATTTATTGTAAACTTGTGTAACCTAACCCAACTATAAAATGTACGCACATTTATGAATAAAACATTTGAAGTTGAGTATTGCCTACATTATTAGCAGAAGTACAGGTAGTAGCAATTATCACAAGAAGGGACCAAGCAGAGAAGGGCAAGCAACATCCACAAAGGATTGTATCGAGGGACAAGCGACCCGGAGAAAGGTTAGGAAAGCCAGACGTACGATCACCCGGACATTTGTATCCGGATAATCAGGACATTTCATATCCGGATAATCAGGACATTTTATATCCGGATAATCAGGCCATTTTATAAGGTGACTGATAGTAGTAGTAGTACACTGTATTTTATTAATAATTTCATTATTAATTATCATTATTAGTAATATTATTAGCAGTTGTACTCTAATAGCAATATTTTAATTATTGATAGTAAAATTAGCATCATGTTCGTATAAAATATTATTACAAATATATCTAACCTTACTACTACTACCACTACTAGTAATTGCCAGCTAATGGTGTAACTAATACTACTGCTACGACTACTGACGTCGCACCTGTAGACGCTGAGAATCAAGTTAAGAGAAGTATGAGTCAGAGAAGGAACACGAGTCAGGGGGAAGGATCAAGTTAGGGGGAAGAAGCAAGAGTCAGAGGAGAGGAACAAGAGTCAGAGGAGAGGAACAAGAGTCAGAGGAGAGGAACAAGAGTCAGGGGAGAGGAACAAGAGTCAGGGGAGAGGAACAAGAGTCGGGGGGAAAGATAAAGAGTCAGATGGAAGGATCATGAGTCAAAGGGAAGGAACAGGATTCAAGGAGAACATTGTAAGATATTGGTCAACAAAGAATGCGAACGTCAATAGATGCAACAAGGGTCGTTTGCGGGGCATATTGTGTTAGATCTTACTTACTCATAAGCACTGATTGGCAAGAACACACACACACACACACACACATTGTGTGTGTGTGAATCAAGTTCTGAATCATTCAGAACTTTGTATACCACATATGTCAGGCCAATCCTGGAGTATGCAGCCCCAGCATGGAGTCCATATCTAGTCAAGGATAAGACTAAACTGGAAAAGGTTCAAAGGTTTGCCACCAGACTAGTACCCGAGCTGAGAGGTATGAGCTACGAGGAGAGACTACGGGAATTAAACCTCACTTCGCTGGAAGACAGAAGAGTTAGGGGGGACATGATCACCACATTCAAGATTCTGAAGGGGATTGATAGGGTAGATAAAGACAGTCTATTTAACACAAGGGGAACACGCACAAGGGGACACAGGTGGAAACTGAGTGCCCAAATGAGCCACAGAGATATTAGAAAGAACTTTTTTAGTGTCAGAGTGGTTGACAAATGGAATGCATTAGGGGGTGATGTGGTGGAGGCTGACTCCATACACAGTTTCAAATGTAGATATGACAGAGCCCGATAGGCTCAGGAATCTGTACACCTGTTGATTGACGGTTGAGAGGCGGGACCAAAGAGCCAGAGCTCAACCCCCGCAAACACAACTAGGTGAGTACAACTAGGTGAGTACACACACACACACACACACACACACACACACACACACACACACACACACACACACACACACACACACACACACACACACACACACACACACACGCACACACACACACACACACACGCACACACACACACACACACACACACACACACACACACACACACACACACACACACACACACACACAAGTTTAGACAGAAACACACAAAGGAGACTTGATCACAATGTTATATATACTGTAGAGGCCTAAACAAGGCGGACAGAGAGAGTCATTTCCAAACTAAGGATAACAGGACCCACAGTTTCAAGACCAATTGCAACAATGAAACTGAAGATCATAGGATTTAAACATATCAAGTACCAATAGTCCAAGAGAAAGATCTTGCTCCCCGTGGACTACTAATGGGTAAACACGCACATAGGCGCCACACAGGGTGGAGACACAATGAGAGGAGCCACACAGGGTGGAGACATAATGAGAGGAGCCACACAGGGTGGAGACACAATGAGAGGAGCCACACAGGGTGGAGACACAATGAGAGGAGCCACACAGGGTGGAGACACAATGAGAGGAGCCACACAGAGTGGAGACACAATGAGAGGAGCCACACAGGGTGGAGACACAATGAGAGGAGTCACACAAGGTGGAGACACAATGGGAGGAGCCACACAGGGTGGAGACACAATGGGAGGAGCCACACAGGGTGGAGACACAATGAAAGGAGACACATAGGGAAGAGAGACACAGGGAGGACACATTGGGAGGAGATATACTGAGAGCCTGGGAGGAGAAACACACAATAACTAGGAAGGAGAAACATACAGTTAGGAAGGAGAAAAACACAGTAGCTAGTGAGGAGAACCATACAATAGTCAAAAAGGAGAAACACACAATAGCCAGGGAGGAGAAACACAATATAACCAGAGAAGAGAACAGACATAATAGGTAGATCACAGAACCCACATAATCCAGGAGAAGAGAGACACAGACACCAAGGAGGAGACACAGTAACCAAGAGGATATACAAACAGCAGCAAAGTAGGCAGACAAGGTAGCCAGGGAAAAGAGAAAGTCAACAGAAAGAGGAAACAAGGCCGACAGAAAGGAGGGACAACTAACAGGCAAGGGGGGGGAGGGGTGGGAAGAGACATAAATTTTGGTAGTTAGGGAGGTAAGGCAGTAGCCAGGGAGAGAACACAAATGTGCAAACTCTGTGACCACAGGTGTGAAGTGCCCTCACCAAGAGCTGCTTAGCACCTGACACATACGCATTACATACCTGTCATTCATTGAGAGTCGGTCAAACCTGAAAAGGGACTCAAGTATCAAGTAACATGGGAGCTTTACCTGCTGGGTAGAATCCTGCGTTGCACTGCCATGATCACTATGAACTGTACCAGGGACTTGCTTCAATGGCCCATCATCATCAGCGGTGCATGTTTCATAATTCCGTAACTTGTCAGAATGTATATCAGGACTTTGTGATATGTCAGTAGATCTATCCAGGCTTTCGGATCCAACTATAGTAACATCTTCATTTTGAAACTCGTCATCTCTTCCAGCTTCAAACCATTGAGAATTTCTATTGTGTTTCTGGGAGGATTTTGTATTTCCTCTCCGAGCAAGGGGCACAGGTTTAGAGCTCAAATTCTTTGGTCTGGTACCCGTTTCATGAGATTGGGATAAATGAGTATTACTAAGGTTGCAAGACAACTGAGGGTTTGAATTGTTGGGTCTTTCTGGAAGTAGAAGTGGAGATGAAGGTGGAAACACAAAATCATAGAGTGGATTGCTCCTGATGCATGTTTCGTGTTTAATATAAGGTTTTAAACCTGGAGAAGTCCAATCTCTATCATCTACTCTCTCCTTAGGGTCTATCTCACACTCTGCTATTTCTCCACTCTGGGATACATATTTCAGACTGTCACATTTATATCCCAAGTCAAAAGATAGTCTTCTTTCAATAGGTTTCTGTTTAGGAAACATTTCCATTTTGCCTCTAATGGAATTTGCATTTTCGATTGAATGAATACCAGCATTCCTAGATACATCATGCGACTCAGGCGAAAACATCCAAGATTTTTTGTCATGGTGAATATGATTATTAATAAGTTTACGAGGAAGTGGAGGTATTGGTGGAGGCACTGAACCACTGTTGGAGGGTAAACAGGCCCAGATGTTCTGCCCACCAGGTGTCACAAGCTGGGACTCTTGCTCTATCCCTTCCCAGCTAGTCCTCCAGTTTGGTGGTGTTTCAAAACTTCTCCAGGGTCGGTTTTCATCTTGCATCTCAAAAGACCGACCAATAGTTGGAGATGAATTGCGTGTATTAGCAGCAATGTGCTGCAGCGCTGAATGTGTTCCCTTCTGGCTAGCATTAATTTCAAACAATACTTCCAATGAGTGTCTCTTCTTTATTAGTGTTTTTTGATGTGGGCCTTGTAATGCAGGTGAAATCGATTTGCATGGAGCATTACTTGGAAATAGTGTGTTCAGATTAGTAAACAAATGAGACAATGGTCTTTTTGGCACATTTGGCACAGCACATTCATCCAACTGTGTCGCCAATGGTTTACTAGCCACAGTTGCGTGCCTAACCCCGTCAACTCCCATACCTAATAATTTTCTTTTAGACATGGGTGACCCATTAAACCCTGTTCCTGGAGCTGGCCTGTTAGGTAGAAGAGGTTTATCAGCTTCATTGAGTCCTTTATTCAGATGTGACCTAACAGGTACTGAGGGTGTATTAGGCAATTCAACTCCCATGGTTGGAGGTCCTCTACATGGCAAGGGAGGCACTTCCGCTTCGACAGATGAACAGGGTTTATTTTGAATGTTGAAATCATGGTCAAAATTCTGAGATATTCTGTTATGCAAAGTTGAGCCAATAGTTGTCTCAACGCCGGCACTCTGGTATAATTTGGTTAACAAGTCCATCCCAATGGCAAAATTTGGAAAAAAACTTGATAGTGGTCTTTCAGGTATTGGAGGTGCTTTATTGGAATTTACTTCATCATTTGTATCGTGAGATCTGTCCATGCTGAGAGGACATGATACACTTCTGGAGTTTGTTACTGTATTTACACTTGAACCATTGTTAGACACGGCACCTACATTGAATCCCTCGACAGGCACCGGAGGCGAGGGGCATCGAGGCTTGCCTGTCACTTTAGCCTCCTGATGACTCCCCGAGCTCCGCTTACTTCCCTGGTCCTGTTCCTCTGGTGCTGCTGCATCACTTGCCAGTTGAGTCTTCTCTTTCCTAGAGACCTGTAATCATGCACATGCACCCAAGCTGCTTAAAACATTCCATCATGCATAATTATCACAAATATAATACTGTACTACCAACAGCATGCACTTAACTTTACAACACAATATCATGGTCTCAGCAGTAATGGATTTGAAGGGTTTCACATTTAAACAAACAATAAATGCTTTGATGTTTAGCTTATATAATTCTTGTTTAATGAAACATAAACACACTTAAAAAACATTTTAAAAGATGTTATATTCATACATAATTTACATGTAAAATGAAAGTACTGTACTGTACTGCATTACACCAATTTCTGGGACAGCTGAGAATCATGTATTGTGAGGCAAATATTAATATCTATTCTACATCTCAACAATACTACCAAACATTAATACCTCTAGAATGCCATTAACATGCAATAAGTACTGTAATGCATGAGATTATAAGTCTACTTGATGTAAATACCACAAAAATATTTCAACATGATTAATAATTATCATATAATCATGTGTGTGTGTGTGTATTCACCTAGTTGTGCTTGCAGGGGTTGAGCTCTGCTCTTTTGGCCTGACTCTGAACCGTCAATCAACTGTTACTAACAACTAACTAGTTTTTTATTTTATTTTTTTCCCCACACACACACACCAGGAAGCAGCCCATAACAGCTGTCTAACTCCCAGGTACCTATTTACTGTTAGGTAACAGACGTACGTGTGTGTGTGTGTGTGTGTGTGTGTGTGTGTGTGTGTGTGTGTGTGTGTGTGTGTGTGTGTGTGTGTGTGTGTGTGTGTGTGTGTGTGTGTATATATATATATATATATATATATATATATATATATATATATATATATATATATATGTCGTACCTAATAGCCAGAACGCACTTCTCGGCCTAGTATGCAAGGCTCGATTTGCCTAATAAGCCAAGTTTTCCTGAATTAATATATTTTCTCTAATTTTTTTCTTATGAAATGATAAAGCTACCCATTTCATTATGCATGAGGTCAATTTTTTTTATTGGAGTTAAAATTAACGTAGATATATGACCAAACCTAACCAACCCTACCTAACCTAACCTATCTTTATAGGTTAGGTTAGGTAGCCGAAAAAGTTAGGTTAGGTAGGTTAGGTAGTCGAAAACCAATTAATTCATGAAAACTTGGCTTATTAGGCAAATCGGGCCTTGCATAGTAGGCTGAGAATTGCATTCTGGCTACTAGGTACGACATATATATATATATATATATATATATATATATATATATATATATATATATACTGTATGTGCAGAAAATCATACATACATACATACATCATACAGTACAGTATATGAAAATGGATTTATAAGACCACAAAAACTGGCCATTAACATTACTATAATTATTTTGCATAGGTGATGCTGGAAATGTTTATACAAGATTGTATCAGTCACCAGAGACTCAGGAACATTACATGATGTCTGAAGTATTAAGGGAATTGTTATTGTTGTTTTGGGATTATGAGGCCAGAACACTGAATAACCAATTAGGATATTCAGTGCCAATATTGAAACAATTTACCCAAATAGTTCTAAACCTTAAAAAACACAGTATGTATGATCTTCCTATCACAAGGTAAACCTCCCCTAAGATTAGCAAAGGTGTTAGCCAAACAGTGTACTTGACTGCCATACCACCTCTACATTTCCAGCAGCAATAGGGGGTATATTAGGTATTTGGCTTTGTATATTATCTATCACATCTCAAGCAGTTCAGAACTGTAACAAAGTCTTGTTTCTTTCAACAGTATTCAACCAATTTTTCACCTAACAAGTTGACAACACATAACAAATTATAGGTGCTGTATTAAGTTCTTCTGTGAAACAAACTAGTGGCTGATATTAAAATTAAGTAGAACCAAATGTTTTGTACTATTTGATGAATAATGGCCATAACAAAACCTATCACAACCAATCCAAACCTAACCTAACCTGTCCAAGAGCTAAATATGCAATTCTAGGACTAGTGTGTGCAATTCTAGCATTATTATATGCAATCTTTGGTGACCTAATTTAGTACATACCTGTACTATAAAAGCCTAGAAAAGGTAGGGTTCAGTTGCTACCTTCTTTCTCAAAGTGTTCTACAAAATCAACGGTACAAAATTAGAATTTTCTGTGCAACAGGTCAAATTTTGTACATTCCATTCACAATTACTGTAGGTACTGTACTATAATTTTTGGAGGATAGATTAAAAGAAAGAGGTTGATAACAAGATAGACAGTGTGTTTGGGAGGAATTACAGTACTGTATAAAGAGACATTTGCAGTTGATACCTCAAAAAATATAAATAAAGAGAGAGAGACTTGGCTTGCCTTCCAACAAAGCAGTGAATAATGTTGAATACTGGCAAATGGATAGACTTTTCTGCTGTACTACTCTTCCCCACCTAACATTGCTGTATGTCTCCATATGTATCTACACTGTAATATATCCTTCCTAAGAAACTTCACTGTACTCAAATGTCTCAAATTTAAAACTAGCAAAAGATATATTGTACAACTTTTGTGTGATTGTATGTTCATATATTCCAGCACGTTCTGTTAGTACGGTATTTCTTTGTAACAATGAGAAGTTGGGAAGGGACAATGCCTTGTGAACTCTAAATACAGAATACGTAACTACAGTATTTAGCTTTAGGAAATATATGGGTTTAAAATAAAGCTGGCACTCTAATTACGCACGATATGAATGTAACTTTAATTCACCAAATAATTCTAAATGATCTTATCATTCCTTCAGATGAGTTTATACATAGTGTAGTTCATCAAAGGCATTTAATAAATGCCATAGATTTTATTAATGAATAAATTAATATTTGTTCAATTAATATTTGTAAAAACTAAAGTTATAATATCCATATTTAGGATGATTAAATTACATAAAATTTATGGTTAAGAGGCTTTGTAATAAAGACAGAATTCACTAAAATCTCTTCTGCACAATGTAGTTCATTGTATGAAAGCCTCAACAGCTCTATATACAGTACTGTATATTTAATCTTCCTTAGTTCATTGTATTCTAACCTTAGCATCTCTAAATGCAATCTTTGATTACATTACCTAATAATAAAACAATAAAAGTTAGAAAAATCTGAACTTGGTGCCTAAGCCAAGTGATTACTCAATTTATTTCAATATATTTCTTTTTGATATACTGTACTTAAAGTGCCTTTTATAAATTCTTATGTGCAAGTAAAATACATAAATGCTGGTGTACTGGATTTCAATCCACATATATATCGGAAAAGTATGACAGCAACACCATAGCATTCACAATGCATCTAACATTGCATTATAGATATAGGGCGCACTAAAATTTCCTCAATATAGTTTATGAACCACAATTTGCAAATATATTTGCTATAGCAAACATAATAAACATCTAAGAAACAAATGTAAGTCCATGATCCTCCACACAGCCACACACAAACACAAAACATACATCCTTTCCTAATTTAAAGCAATAGCTGATGACCTGTACATGGCCATTTTTTAAAAACATATATACAGGGAGAAAATTTGGGGGTCCATATGAGGGGGATCAAACCCATATTCCTGGATTTCCCAAGACACACGCACTACCAACTGTACCATGATGGGCTTAATTGGTTCATTCGGTAGTGCGTGTCCCTGGAGAGTCCAGAGATCCAGTTTCAATCCCATTGTATGGCTTCAATATTTTCTTTTAAATACATGAAGTTCTTGTGTTTTGTGCATAAATATTGAGCATTAAAACATAAATTGCCCTTAACCTTAAAATAAATTGCAAACTTTATGATAAAGTACAGGATCAACAGAACTCAAGGCCTAAACACCACATTCTAAAGCCATCATCTGCAAGGTTGTTAGAAATGTGTTGTGTGGACCTATAATGCAAACATTACATATTATAAACAAATACTATGTTATGGGTTGGTTAGATTACAGGTAACATGATATATTACCAGGCATATATTATTATTCACCGATTTGTCGGTCATTAAAGAATATTATAACATCTTTGATTGCATTTGACACCAATGATAGTGTTTAATCACAGAAAAATCTGGCATTTATTACTCAGCATTAAGAATAAGGCACAAGCAAAACTGATAAAGCAGCCATTCATTTACTATAAATTATTTATCATACATTGCTATATTTTCTGGGAGAGCTACCTTTGCAGCTATTCAAACTAAGTGCTGACTGGCCTAGCCAAACCTCAGGGAGATGCACCAGACTTTAGACTCACCCTTAGAACAAAATCTGGCTCTCTTTCTACAGGGCAAAGGGAGCTTGGGGATCAGATATAAATCCCAAACTAAGAAAACCCTCCAGAAAGCATGATCGCAACAAAACAAGCAACTGTTTGAAGAAAATTAATTTTCTCTCCAGGTGTTCTACCCATTTGGTTTTAATTACTTTTTCCAGTTTGACTAATATGCTTGTAAATGATACAGGTCTATAATTTAGAGGGTCTTCCCTGCTAGCACTTTTTATAGACTGGAACTATATATTTTTTTTTCCATATACAGTATCTGCCAAGACTCCTGTACAAAAAAGATAACTGAAAAATCAATTTAAGTGGAGTGCTGAGCTCAGATGCACATTCTCAGAATTCGAGGTGAAACTCCATCTGGACTAACTGTCTTGTTCCTACTTAGCTCTTTTTCCACTTCATCTCGATACACCTCTACCTACTGCACTCTGTTATTTTCTGAAAAACTTATTGTGTCCGGTTCTCTGAAAACTTCCTTTTGCACAAACACACTGTGTTTGTGCAAAATTAACTGTTCATTTAGTGTTTCACACACATCCTTTTCATTCTCTGTGAATTTGTTCCTCATTTTCAACCACTGAATTTTATCTTGTACCTGCAATTTGCTACTAATGAATTCATAGAATAGGCCAGATTCTGTTTTACATTTCTTCACTATTTCATTCTCAAAAGTTCTTTCAGATTCTCTTCTCTCTGCCGTAATTGTTTCTTGC